CATAGGAATAGACTTTGGAAGCTCATTCCACATAGTGGGATACTCTCTGAGCCTAGACACAAGGGGGTGGGCCTAGGCCTTATCCCAAAGGATATGACAGACTCTGAAGACTTACTGAGGAGAAGAAAGGATATGGGATAGATTGGGTGTTAATTAGGGGGTTGGCAGGGGAGGAGAAGAGGTACAGGGAACTGGGATTCACGTGTAAAACAATCTTGTTTCTAATTTAAAATAAAAAATTGAGAAAAAAAGAAAATCACAGCAAAATTAGGAGTTTGAATCATAATCTAGTTGAAATGACTTGTATTCCACTCTGCGTGGAGTCTTGCTGAATTTACATATGTACACAAGTTTGAAGGTTCAATCTAGACCACTTCCAGGGGAAGTATTGTCTTGAAGAGGTATGATAATGATCCTTGGTAGTCACTGTAGGCTGTGAATGTTCTGATAGTTTCTGATAGACTGATTCTGTAGGAAGGAAACCAATTGGTGAGTTTTATTAGGTTTCTGTTTCATGTGGGAATCTATAACTGGAAATTTAAAGGATTGTTAAGCATCATCTTTATCCAGAGGGAAGTAAAAAATCTAAATGTCCAAAACCTATTTAATGTAGGACTACAAATATAGAATGCACTGAATGACTGTTGTGGGTCAAAATGATTATGCAGTGCTTTCAAGCACATAAAACTAGATTCACTGTATCACTGTTGACATCTACCCTAACAAGGAAGATACTAGGGAGAAAAATGTCATTCTTTGCCTAGTCTTGTCTCAGTATAGAAAATAGAATTCTGTGTTATATCTAAAGTATAATTGTAGGTTTATTTTTTTAATTTGTCAGAGAACCATAGTAAGCCACAGTTTCTACATTTATGTATCTACTCTCTATTTATTAATTTTTTCATTTATTTTACATCCAGTTCACAGTTTCTCCTTCATCCTCTCCTCTAGTTCCCAAGCCCCTGCCTCCCCATTCACTCCTCCTCTGTTTCTACTCAGAAATGGGCTTGAAACTCACAGGAGGGTTAGGGTTAGGACTATTTATACATTGTGTTTATTAAGAGTGTGGTGAAAACTGTACCCTGATTTAATATTTAAAAATTGCATCACTTGTCATGCTATGTATATTTTGGAAACAGTGTATTGTGATTCTGTGTAATAATAAACACAGCATAAAAAGTAATTATTTGTTTTCTGAAGTTATAGCTTCTAGTATAAATTGGAAAAATCTTTCTGTTACAAATAGCGTAGCCAGTTATGTTCCAGTACTATTTTATTTATGATTTAGCTATTTATATATAATCCAATTATAGAATGATACTATTTCCAAGCAAGTAACAGATAGGGGAATAGATTCTAGGCATGGCAGCATGTACCTGCAGCCACAGGTCTTTAAGACTTATGCAGGAGGATCATGGGTTTGAGAAATGACTAGAATTGTTAGGGAGACCTGTTTCAACAAAATCAAACTGGATGATATCTAGTATTCTAAGAAATGGTTTATTTTTGTGGAATATCAAAATACTTCATGCTACTTTTATTTTTTATTATATGCTAACATAAGTAAGAAAAAAAAACTCTCTTTTCTAGAGATAAGTAAGTCTTAATAAGGTAATGAAAAAGAATGAACGAGAGAGAGAAAGAAGGATATTACACAATTAGCTACTATACCCAGGTTTCTTCTCACTTTTAGAACTATATTTTAGTAAAATACACTTTGTGGGAATGCTATGCAATAAATGGAATAGATCACCATTTCCAATTTCTGTATATTATAAGAAACACACATGTACTCCGCAGCTGATATTCAACAAAGGGGAAATGAGTAAGTTTGAAGTTGGAAGATATTTTGGACATTACCTGCAAATGTTGCTCAAATGAGTTGGCTGTAGCTTATTTTCAGCGAGGGACAACTCATAGGTGGTGCCTGTTTATGTCGTTCAGCATTTAGTATGCATGGAAAGCTTCAGGAAGACATTTTTTTTTTTCAAATTATGTTCCAGCTTGAGGAAATGGCATTTTTCAATAAGAGCAGAGGCATATACTGGTTTTAATAATGTAATTACTCACAAATGATTTGCCCAGTGTAATTGGGAATATGCCAGTTTGTTTTCTTACAGACACAATTCATTTGCCACTTATAGGATCATATATATGGGATTGTGTGTCCTGACACTGTGTTTGCTATCTGCTAATGATGGGCTATGTTCTTTCCCTACTCTCCTTTCTCCATTTGAATTTGTGAATGATGTTCTTGGATGTAACATTTCATTTATTCCTCTGATGAGTTTGAGAGTTAGTCACTAGTAATAACTGGACTTTACCCATGGAGAAAGTAGAGCATGTAAACATTATGTAACTCCATAAGGGAATCTGCTGGTAAGTGGTGGAGCAAGCATTAGGATTAAGATTTGTCCTGACCCAGTCCAGCTTCTAGTCTGTCTTTAACCTTTGCAGCCCTGTGTGGTTATATATTGTTTATGATTTAATAAAGCTTGTGCAGGGATCAGAATGCAAAGCTAACCACATTAATTAGCCATAGATACCAGGTAGTGGTGGTACAGACCTTTAGCCCCAGGACTCAGGAGGCAGATGGAGCTCTGTGAGCCAAGGCCACCCAGCGCTACAGGAGAGTGAATCAGTCCAAAAAAGAAACAGAGCTCAAACCTTAAACCCAGCACTAGGGAGGTGGAGACTGGAGTGATATGGCTGGGCAGAGAGAGGAATATAAGGTGAGAGGAGTCAGGGACTCAGAGGCAGGATCTCTCCTTTCAGTCTGAAGATTTCTTAGAGGTAAAAGCTCCCTAGTGGCCAGCTGCTCTGCTTTTCTGTTTTTCAGTTTGAACCCCAATATCTGTCTCTGGGTTTTTATTATTCATGATACAGCCCTGAAATCAAGAATGGATCAGAACAGAGGGTTTTTAGTCCGAGGCACAATCTATACGCCATCAGAATGTCTTCCTCCTTACTACTGCTGCCATGCTATATAGAATGTATTTTACTAGTTTTAGGGAGCTTCAGTTAGGGAATTCATATTTTTCTATTAAAAACATGAATCAAATTGTTTGTGGATCATATGTTTGAAAGCAGACTCAGTTTTGTTTTTTTTTTGTTTGTTTGTTTGTTTGTTTTGGATTTTGGTTTTTCGAGACAGGGTTTCTCTGTGGCTTTGGAGGCTATCCTGGAACTAGCTCTTGTAGACCAGGCTGGTCTCAAACTCACAGAGATTCGACTGCCTCTGCCTCCTGAGTGCTTCAGACTCAGTTTTAGGACATCTTTTCTACTTGAGTATATCATCTTCTGTTATGTTATATGTGCACATTGTTTCTTTTTGCAGTAGTGAGCAACACTGCCTTCAGGGCAGAAAAGGTTTGCCTCTGTTTTTATACATGTGATTCTCACCCACACCCTTCCCCATCCCCCAAAAGTAACAGCCTAGACAGGAAACCATTGGAGAATACTCTTAAAAAGTTGTGATAAAGATGCTGAACTATAGCTTTCCACAATGAGGGCTTCTGACAGGGATGCAGGTAGGGAAGCACTCAGTTTTCTTTAAGGGACAGGCTACTGGGATTTTGACCATGCTCCTATGAGTGAGTATATAGGGAACACAATTTGGACTTGCAGTTTTTTTTTCTTTTTCTTCTTTTTTTGGGGGAGGGGTGGATTACAAGGGTGGGCAGTGTATCTTGGAGGACTGGGAAGTGTGTGTAATCAGGATGCATGATGGGAAATTCCCAAATAATCAGTAAAAAAATCTACATTGGGGAAAAAGTGTTTTTCTAATTGTAAAGTAGAATTAGGGGAAAGTCTTTTCTTATCTGAAGTGCTAACCAAACAAGTTTCACTAAGCTACAAGTAGACATGCTTGTGTGGCAGTGAAGGTAATCTGGCGTTGGGATTTGATTAGAGGAAAACAGATACTAAATGAAGTAGTGCCTGTTAGTATATGTCTGGATCATTCTCTGGGAGACTTAGTGCTTCGGAAAGTGCTTTGTCTCTTCAGATCTATTACACTAACAAAGGTGAGTTAGATGATTTCCCCACACTTATCACTAAGCAGTTTCCTCCATTGGAGCAATTTTGTGACATAGGTGCCCTTTCCCAGTAGAAAGTAGATATTCACACAGTACTTCCTTCCTTCCAAGTGACTTTTCCCTGTTCTTCCTTCATGCAACACTTTCTACACTTATAGCATCACGCCTAGTTTTTATATCCTTGACCACAGTATCTATGAAACCCAACTTCTGATTAAGTAACCAGAATCCAGTGAAAATTGAAAGTGTAAAGTGAGGGGTATGACTACCCTGATTGCCTATGCGTTATTACAAACTATTGTGCTATGAAAGAATATAAGCATCCCAGACCTCTAGAGAAGCCACACTGGAAAATATGAATAGGTGGATTTCATTTTACTATTATGTTAGTATATCTTATTTAACATCATGTATCCAAAATATAATTTGTCAACATGCAGCCAACATTTAGAATTATGATCTTGAAGCTATTACAATGACTCAGGAACTAAAGGCTATTGACACCAAGCATGAGGGTCTGAGTTTGATCTCTCGAACTCACACAAAGGAGAGAACTGATTCTGCAAGTTTTCCTCTGACCTCCATGTGTGTTCCATATCCCCCGCTATCAATAAATGTAATTTTTTAAAAAAGAATGACATTTTTCCTCCTTTAAACAAAATCTTCAAGTTTCTTAAATATATGAGATAGGAGAAGTGGTTCCATGGTTGAGAGAACTTACTGCTTTCAGATTTCAGGTTTCAGTACTCACAGTGGTCAGCTGACAACCATCTCTAACTCAAGTTTTAAGGACCACAGCTGGCCTCCAATGGCACCCACAATCATATGGCATACATTCAAGCAGACACATGCATAAAAATAAATAAAAATAAATCTTTAAAGAGTGAAAATACAAATGGTTTATATTGTGTCCCCAGTAAGTGAAGATGGACCCAAGTTCCAGAAGTCTGTTCTGTTTTACAGAGAAAAGTGTAAAGGAAGGTGCCTTAAAACTCAAAGAAGAACCATCTAAAATACTGTCTGGGAATAAGTTTCAGGATCGATACATTGTGTTACGAGATGGACATCTCTTTCTTTACAAGGATCCAAAGGTAATTGGATAAGTGGGAATTGAGCATGCATATTATTATTTTGTGGAGGTATTTATGTCTTTATCTGACACTACTGACAGGCATCTCTCTTTAAAATAATGCTTGAAGTAAGCTGATGTCTTCCTTAAGTCTCTGAGATGTATCACCAAAACATTCAGTATCTTAGTGCAGAACTTCCTGTGGCTTTTCTGTGAACTTCAGATTTTGTTGTTATTGTTGAAAGAAAATTACTTCATCACTGAAGAGACTTTAAGTGTGTTAACAGAAACTATCATATAAATCAGTATCATAGCCAATATTCATTAAGAGAGAGTGTGTTATATTCTAAAGGCAAAAAGAGTCTGAGTGAGCTAATGGAGATTTAATGAAGAGTGGAGTGAAAAAGACAAAACTCAAATTCTGTAATGAATGTTAACATCTTCCTATACATTTGAATAAATTTACCACCATATCATATTTATTGGCTTCTACAGATTATTCCTTATAAGTTTTGAATTTATTGAAGAAATAAATTCACTAAATATTTTAAACAAATGATGTAGCTATAAAATGCTGAGTTTGGCATCAAAAAATCTCATCTGTGCTAAGAGTTAGTGATGTGAATATGTAACTTGGCATCTCTGCCTCTATACGAATGTGATGATTACAATGTGAGTCCTAAAGAGCAATGGCATTAATGTTTAAACGAGAGTATGTATATAAGTATTTTTGACATGTGAAACATTTATAAATATATATTATCATAACAGTATGCTTATAAAGATGCCCCTAAGAGTAGGATTAGGTAAGTTGCAGAATGAGCAAATTTATTCAAAATGTCTATCAGAAAACAAATGTTTCATCCCAGGATATTATGAACCATTCCATATCAACAAAAAGACATCCCAGTAGACATCTGAGAATAGGATTGAGCGGATACTATATGAAGGAAGGTATGGAAATGACTTGTGAGTCACTAAAGCAAGTGTTCAATGTTAGTAGTCATCATTAGTATACCATTTTAAAAAACATTTGTTTTGATGAAAATTGTGAGTGACAACTCCAGTTTGAAGAGGGATTTAGGGTAACTGGAGGGCTCATAAACAGTTACTGGAAAGGTAAACTCACAGTATTATGTAGGGTTCCTTAACAGTTTCAAAATAAAGTTATTCATCCACCTGCCAATTATAACCCCCAAGCTCTTGTAAATGAATGTTTGTTGGCAACTTCGTTTACAGATGTGTCCATAAACAGGAGAATAATGTATGGATAGATAGAATATTACTTATGAGATTTCTAGTAGATGACACAATATAGATGAACAAAAGAAGCACAACAATCAACATAGAATCATATGCCAAACCATTCTGTTCACTCTATGGTGAAAGAACCCCAAAAGGGTTTACTTGGCCTGGGAAATAAAATAGCCACAAACTTCCCAGCAGGCAGAAAGGAGATGGAGTATTTGCTAGGGAGAAGCATTGACCATGTCCTCATTCTGCCTGACATACTCAAAAGGGAGACTGACTATCGCTCGTTTGCTGTTTGGTGTTGTGGTTCTGCTATCTCTGCTGAGGAAAACTACACTTTTTAGAAATAAGTTACCTTCACGTTTTGAGTTATATGTTTTTAACGTTTTTAAATCTAAGATCTGCATTTGTGAAAATTAAAGCTAGACTTTACAATTAGTTATTTTAGTGATGTAAAACATAACCTCATTTACCCTTCCTACTTTTCTGTAATGAGCCTCTACCCTTTTTCTGATTTACTTGATCATTGGTCTCCCATACTTATAACATGTTTTCAGTTGGATATCACCTAGGGCTTTTCATAATCAATTTGAGTATTTTTGTCTAATCAAGGCCCTGACTCTTTCTACTGTACACCAGAAGAAGGCCCATAAAACAACTAATCCTTTGGTATTAATTTCATGAAGGAATAGCCATGTAGCCACACTATTCCAAAATAACACTGGTGTGGCTATTGTATGGCAGCAAAAAGATGGTTGGACCTTTTCATCCAGATAGTACCATGTATGCTTAAATGTGCCCATACAGGGGTTGGAGAGATGGCTTAATAGTTAGAGCACTGACCACTTTTACATTGAACTTAAATTTTATTTCCACCACCAGCATTACAAGCATCAGTATCTCTAGTCCTAGGTAGTCATATGCCCTTATCTGATATAGGTGGGTGCCCTGCAGCACACACAGTAGACAGACAGACATGCAGGGTCATTTCCAATATTTCATAAGCACCCAGGATTTTAAACCATAGTGACCACAGTTATAGAATATAGTATGATTACTAAATGTTTAAAATCTATTTATCCCACCAAAATAATTCCATTCAGCTCATGCCTTACTCTGCAATCAAGGACAGCAGATGAGGATTTTTTCCTTTAAACTCAAACTGCTATTGTTTTCACCTTATGATTTTACTTTGCTCCTTATTTTTTTCATAGCACGGGTCTCTTAATATTGATTATTATGTCATTATGCACATTAAATAATCTATAGTAAAATCCTTTTATCTATATGATTATAGATTTGGCTTTAGAACAGTTTTCACTAATATATGTGCATTTTATACATTTAGAAAATTATTTCCTGAGAAGGAAGTAGAAATTATAAACTGAGAAGTATATTTAAAGCAACTGTTAATTAGAAATAATTTATGAATGTTCATTAACAACAAATTAGGGCAATACACAAGGGAAGATAGATTTTGTTTTCACAGGTTTTCCATGCACAGAAAATGTTAATTAAAATATGATCAGATGGATTTACATAAAAGGTGAAAGGTTTCAAAGAATATTGCCATTACACTGTTAATGGCGTGAAAAAATGGGTAAGCAAAGGTAAAAATGCAAATGAGTAAGTGGGGATATCTTTAGCAGTTGCTTGAACTAATAAGCAGATTCCTTTTAGCCCTAGGAATAATTTTGACACTCACTTATTTAATTGACTTACTTAATGACTTCACTTTGAAATATAGTAACTCAAGCAACACATTGTAGATTTCATAAAAGTTTAGTCTACTGAACTTTTGGAGGCATTCTCCAGAAATTAGACATACCAGAGAGGGGGGGGGTAGGTATGCCAATTGAGATTTACTTTTATAGAATTTTCCATTGGGACTTTTGCAGTTCCTTGTTATGTATGTTAAGTTTAAATGTTAAAACACACAAGAGATTTCTTTACCTCCCTATTTATGACATTAGGATGGTATAAAGTGATACGCTTGCATGCCAGGAGTGGCATTGGGAATTTCATTATTTTATACTCTTTATCTGCAGTCAGGAAGTCTTTAAAATTCAGGCAGTCTTGGACTTACCAATGTCCTAGATAAGTAAAGAGAAGCAACATTGGATATGGGCATTCTAAGACATGCAAATGCCCTCAATTCCAAGCCATTGGAATTGCTGCCTTCCACTCTACCTTGTAGCCAAGCATGGTATTGTGTACCAGGGATTAGCCAACTAAAATGCGGGATAAGAAGTTAGCCTAAGTTGTAGTTTGTTTTAACCTCTCACAAAGGTAACCTTATAGCACACAGGCATAGTGGCCAGCCCTGTCCTTCTTAAGTAGAGCCTATAGATGAGTCCTTATCTGCCATACCTCATGATCACACAAAAGACATTCAATGTTGTTAAATGTTTGTTCATTGAAATTCAACAGGTTAGCAAGTCATAAGACCAATATCAAAAATCAGTCCTCAGTTGCATTAAGAAGAGAAAATATGTCAAGGTCTTTTTAAAGGTCTTAAACAAGAAATAGAAGCTAAGATGGAAACTATAGAATGTCACTGATAAAAATTGATTTAACCTTACTGATATTGATTTCTAATTATATTGTAATTAGAATTGTAATTATATTGTCACAGGCCACTTGTCATCCAGGCATAAGTCCTCATTTCCTTCTTTGTTGCTTTTCCTGTTAAGTAATTCCTCTGAATTCTCCTGAAATAAACTTTTAACTTTATAAACATAGCTCCCACCTTTCAGTTTACAAGTTTGGTGGTAAAGAAATAACATCACAGTGACACTTTAGTATATAACACATAACGAACTAGATATTTGGGTTTTGATGCATTTTCCTGGCATCCTGGCAATTAGCTATATTGGAAAGTTGCACAAGGCTGTAATCTCTATGTTTACAGAAGTAGCTACTTCCTGTGAGCTCATTTTATGCCAATTACTAGACTAAGCTTCATAGGCATTTTTGTTGCTGTTGAACCATTACAATAACCTTTCACAATAACACTCTGGTTACACATTTACTTTTCTCAGTCCTCAATCCAGTTGATGAGTAATTTTATTTTCTCAATTTAAAAAGAGAAATAGTGAAAAATCACAAAATTACAAGAGGCAAACCAGATCTATACTCGGTTTCTCTGATCTCAAACTCCTTGTTCTTATTTATGAATCATCTCTTCCTATCAGTTTAAAACCATTTCTTTGAAATTGTTTTAGGATATGGAGAATGATTCATGATAAATTATTTCTATGTTTATTACTTTTATAAAATGAATTATTGGTTTCCACAGATAAACAATAGGACATATGAATTTTTAAAAATCTAGTTTAAATTAGAACATGATGCAACCTTTAGGCCTGTAGGAAAAATGTCATGTTTTAAATATATACAAGCAGCTATGGGCCTTGGTTTTCATTTTGAAAATATCTATTTATTCAAAAATTTTATGTATTATGTTGATTCTTGACCCAGCTTCATGTTAATTCCTTACCAAATAGATAAAACAGAAATAACAACATACAAAAAATGTTCTAAATTAAACAGCAAAACATGCTTAAAAGCAGAGGAGGGGATAAAAATCACTATGGGGAAAAAAAAGAAAAAGGATATTTCATTGGAAAAAATGATACTTCCTTTCTCAGAAGGTATCAGTTGCAAATAGATTCTTTGCTAGAGGTTGAGCCCTATATCCACTTCGCTTTCTGAAGGCTAGACTTTTGTATGGTTTGTACCTATGCAGGTCCTGCTTGTGCTGTCACTGAGTTCATACATGAGTCAGTCCAGTTGTATCTAGAAGATGATGTTTCCTTCTGTCTCCCACTTACTCTTGCTATTATTTTCCTTCTGCAACATCCTTTGAACATTTACTGAATCACAGGGTGTGGAGAACATGAAAATGATCCAGAGAAACATAAATTCCTTTTAGAATGCATTTTAACAAATTATTCTTGATAATTTTCATCAATGTAAATACTTAGAATCATTTACTATGTGCCCCTGCGTGCACATAGTCTGTTTGCCCTAATCGTAAAATCCATAATTTATAAAGTTCCTTTTTTTATTCAATGATACAATCGAACCCAAAGCAACCTGACATCTAGACCCTGTATTTGTGTCAATTATGATGTAATACATTTTCTACTTAAATTTATTTATTTGTTCACATTATGATCAGGTCAGACTTTATTTGCTAAAACTTGTAGTATGATGAAAAACATGAAACAAAATAAAGAATTCCAAATGCATTCATTAATATTCTACAGAAATGTTAAAATCTACTTAATTCCATGTGATACTTTCTTCCCTTACAGAGCAGCAAACATGACAAGATGTTTTCTCTAAGCTTGATGAAGTTTTACCTTGGTGTGAAAAAGAAAATGAAGCCCCCAACCAGGTAACGGCTGAAAGGAAAGGGGTGAGAGAGAAACAAAACAAAACAGGAATGAAGTCTGCTGAGGGCTTAGGGATGGGTGGTGTTAGTTTAACATCTGTAAATCAAGAACACCTTCATCTGTACCTGGGATCCTTGGGTGGACTGAGTGGCTGTGTGAGTATATGAGAGGCATGATATTCCCACCGTGGAAAAGGTTAATCTACAGACTGCCCTCTGCCCTGTATGAGTAGGGAAATCCTAGGGAGACAGCAGCAACTTCCAGAACAGAATTCCTTGGCCTCCCAATATTTACAGGACACAGCAGTATCTGTGATGTAGGGATGAATGATCCAAGCACACTAAATAAAAGAAATCACACACTGCTCTCCAGCTTTCTGATGCTTCACTTTTAGAATGTTGATTCTGGCTTTTGAATTTTCTCTAAGAACATGGACCCTCTTAAGTAGTATGTCATTTAAATATTTGATGAACACAGCATTTAATTTATACCATAATTTGTTTTCACAGTCACTTTCATTAGCTAAATAATACTGTTATATTATTCTAGTAAACTCTATAATGACCTGTGGTTCTCAGATATGATTACTGATTTGTTCTTTTACTTTTATGTCCATATTTATTTTTTAAGCTTCAGACAGGTACGAGTATTACACAGGCACACATACATTCACCTGATTTCAGCTGTTTTATAGATATTTATCCCTAGTATATTCACCATATGTTTTGCAATAAAAAAATGCCCAAGACAAACTACTTAGGATAGCATAAAAGTTTATTAGTGCATCAAATAAAAACATTCGTGATTAAGTTTCAGAGGCTCAATTCATTGGCTGAATTCTGTTAGGGGGCCTTCTCTAGCTGTCTCACATCATGAGGTACGACAATGGCAGGAATGTGTTTAACATATTGTGTTTCTTTGTTGCAGTTGGGGATTGACCGCATATTCTGAAAAACACCACTGGTAAGTTGACTGGCAGCTTTTAGATTTTCCATAATATTAACTAACCACTTTGAGTAAAGAGTGACATCATGGCACAGGCAGAACTACAGAGAAGAAAAAGAAAAAAAAAAAACTTGCATTAAGTTCAGTTAATTATAATCTCACATCCTTGTAAATGTCTCTTTCAAGAAACTACATCTTTCATAGAAAGTAGATAGTATTGGAATCCAGCTTTTAGGACACAAATAGGCAAAATTAAGGTTCAGGTTTTAAAAGGTAAGACCTGAGTTGAAACTTAAAAAAAAAAAAAAAAAATCTATAGCCCTGTTTTTAAGCCCGTTTTCTTCTTGTATATTTTTTTAACTTTGTCTCCTTTCTGCCTGTCTCCCTGATGCCATCAAAAACCTGTTCCTCACTGACCTATTTGTAGCTAGTCCCCAGGTTATATTAGGTTGGACACTTCCTCATGCCTAGGGTCTAGGGATTTTTGTCTGCCTGGCTTAAGGAGAGTACAATGCTTCTTACAGTTGTGACTCTCCTTTAGTTTCCTACTGAGCTCTCTACCCAAATACCACTGACTTCTCTCCAGTGACCATAGAGGATGATTTCACATTTGCCTGGTGATGGAAAAAGACAATGTCTTAACAAAACTAATGAAAAAGAAAACAAGCTTCAGAAATGTTTAACCCCATTTCATTCTAACATCAGGTCCAACATTTACCTCTTTAGAAAGGGACCTCTTCTCAACCCCTCCAGACTCCCTGCACCTGCATCTACTCTTTTTTGTTTTTCTATAACATGTCCCTTGGTTTCTCTTACTGTGCTATTTCTTTGTTTGCATGGCCAGCTTTCTTATCATACTGTGCAAAGCTTGGGGGCAAGAGCTGCTTTATGTAGGGTTTTAGTAAAACATTAGTGGAGTGCCAACAGACATGTAGGAATGTTTATGTGATTAGACCATGCCTAAGCCCTTTGCTAAAACAGGTCTCCACCCCATGAATGTGCACATATGTCCCAATCAGAGTCTCTGGGGAAAAGACGCTTTACTACCACATGCCCGAAAATACCAAATGACACTGACTTCACCTTCCCAAAATGTTGTTGATCTTTGTCCTCCTGCCAACTGGAGATTTACTTCCCAGATGACTGGAACCACTTCTACTGACATAGTCTGAGTTTGATTTCATCAAACCACAAGTTTGGAAGAGTTCAGAAATATTTCTGACTATAAAATTACTAACCACTGTAGGGAAGAGCTATTGTTGTTTGCAAGTATTTATTATATAAACCTTGTTTTGTAGGCACCTGTGTTGTGACAGTTTACAAGCCCAGATGGAGTGGATGGCCAGTATCTTTATTGCCCAGGTATGATATGCATTGTGAGCATCTAATCTGCTGTAAGATGTGGTTAAAGGAAATGCTAATGTGCTTGTAATTTTCATTGAGTTTTTGTTTGTAGAGTATACAATTGACACACTTTCACTTGAACGTATTCTTAAATATACGAAAATCTGTATTTTCCATTGCTCTTTGAGAGAAGAGACTATTGTGACTGCCCACACTTCTTGTTCCTCCAATGCACTGTTCTTAAGTTTAGTGGGGGTGTGGTGCGAGAGCTATAAAATAGGTCCAGATAGTAGCCTTGTCTGAGCTCTCACTGCTCTGCAATGGCATACAGATCTTCATACAGAAGTATGCACTTTGCCTTCACCTCTCATCCTTTCTCCTTAGTGATTGCAGAAGCAAGGCTAGGAAAGTACATTTCTTTGATACCTGTTCTTTGGTAAATACTTTGTCAGAATAAAGTTTTGTACCCCTTATGTTGCATACTAGAACCTGGGTTTTCTTGCAACTGTTCATTTAAATAGTGTACACCTCTCAGAGTTCACTGAGAGTCATAGACCCAGCTTCACACTTAGTCTTCCACTTGAAGAAACATTCTTTGACAAAGGCCTGTTAATTGAATTGGTTTCTTTTTTAACCTTTTCTAGCTGAATTAGCAACACTGCTTCTCACAGATCCCTGGAATGCATGGCTAATGAATAAGGTGTCACTATTGCTGTTCAGATCTTTTCATATTTCTTACAATGAATACATTAGCTCACTCCCAAATTGAGTGCTTATTTGTTTTGAAAAGCATTTCTCTGTGATTTAATTTCCTAACTTTTTCATTGATGACTATAGATGCCGCTTTAACTTCTTTTGCTTTATCACCTATCTACTGCATTTGTAGGGGAAAAAGGGTGAATTGTTAACACGAGTCATTTCTTCAGTTTGAAAATTCAGATTATCTCTACTGTACTTAAAAACCAAAACTAAACATGAAGTATTTTGTTTAAAATTGGAAACATATAGTCAAAAGCTGATACAATTATCTGTTTACAGCACAATTAAACTGATGTTTTTGTTTTCAGACTTGGAGTCAATAGACCTTCATGTTGACAGTCGAGCACTAAATAGTACTTCCCCATTGTAGCACTAATTAAGAGCATATGTGTAATTAGTTGTTTTGTTTGTGCCTTTTCTGTTA